AACAACTTCTATAAAACGAAAGGAGACTGCGACCACACAAAAGGCCACACCATCTTGGTCTTCATATCTTAAATGGCTAATGTTGGTTCGACCTTGTTTTCGCAACTTGGTCTTAAGGAGGCCTTATCGAACATACCTAGTCTCATGTTCTCTGCCATAATGTCCGTGATTTTTAGCATCGGACCAGTGACTTGGTACATTCCAAACGACGACCAAACAGGTCGCACCAGTCGTCTTTATATCTACGATTTAAGTAGCTTACGCCTCTCCATTCCGTAAGTTTCCTCCATTTTTTGGATGGAGGTGTGATAAAGTATTTAATTAGCTATGTCCGAATGATACTCCCTTATTAATATGAAGAACTTAGGAGCAACGTTTGCAACAATTCAAAAAGTCCGAAAGACAAGATTAACTTGCAAATGTCTTTATCAGCTTGAAATCGGTGCATTGTTTGGCTTTTTACCTCAACAGTTTAATCGAAGGTATGAAGACCAAGATGGTGTGGCCGCGGTCTCCTTGATTTTGAAATTTAATCGCATTGTCAGAGACCTAGAGGAATGCACTATGACCTGAGTCAATAGCATCCATGATTATCTCCAGCGTTGAAACGTGAGATGGTACATTTACAGACGTTTTTCCGGCATCTTAAGTGAGCCCTGCCATTATAAACATCACACTACAACTCGTCATGAGGGCAAGTGAAGTTGATCCATTGACCAACTTTTTTACAAGCAGTTGTGGTATCTCTCTAAGACCATACTAAAAGCTATAGCATCTTAGTCTTCTAGCTTTTGAGTAAATTATGGTTCCATGCAAATGAGACATATGACAATCCTCTGGTATCGTAGTAACGGTAGAGTAAAAATTCATTATCGACAATTTCTTAAAAAATCCAGTCACGATCCATTGTTGCCATACGGAATTCGAACTTGGTTTCGATCTAACAAATGCCAGTATAAATTAAATGAATGACAAATCTCATGTGCACATAATCCTGGAGGCGTACACGTGCTCGAACATAGATAGGAAGACTAGGTGACGGATACAGTAGAGGAAAAACTATGCAGTTCATGAGCCATTTATTCACTAAATGAGAGTTTAATACAAAGATTTGATGAGTTTTCAGGGTCTAGTGACAGCTTAAGGGGAAATGGATCAGGTGATAGGTAAAGATGGGGCTGAGATTGAGTCTGAAGGTGGTGATAAAAGGAGAGAAGAGTGTTCGGAAGGGTCAGAAGGAAGGTTAGCTCGCCGAAGGGACTCTGAGAAGCCTAGCAAAACTGTCAGGTTTTCTGCCACCTTGTTGATGAGGTCCGAAGCCATTTTGAATTCCGGAATTTCCAAAAGTTTATCGACAGGATACAGATCTGACAAAAATAAGGATATTTTGATAAATAATAATTGATAAACAATTTTAGTAAACAAACTAATGCCCATCATGAGTCGGCATCCTAGACTCTAGCGATAAAGATAATTTAGGTCGGCATAACAGAACAAAATCTCTAAAGACATTCCATAATACCCGATATATCTGATAGTAAAATATTCAGAGATAGGTTCGGACTCAAGCAATTCTTGATTTCAAGTAATGAGGCATGGTGCTTATTAGTATTTTAAGGTCTAGGGAAGAAAATACGTACACCTGTCAACAAGTGACAAAATTTGACTG